TCTTCTTCTTCTTCTTCTTCTTCTTCTTCTTCTTCTTCTTCTTCTTCCTCTGCCGTATCCGTCATTGGACATTGGTGATCCTATTTTTATCAACAGCCCCACAAAAAAGTGCTGTTGAGTTTTGTCCAAACTAGCCCCTTTGATTTTGAAGCCCTGATGTTCTTCTTCTGTCTGGACCTCATTTCCCTTCAATCTTTCCCTGGAGGATTAAAGTGAAGGATGTCATATTTTTCCAGCTGTCGCATTCCCATGTCTGAGATATTCTGGCCATCAGATGGCAGCAAATAGATTTTTGTAATCATCTATTATTCTATGTCAGTGGTCCCCAACCTGTCTTGCTTGGCTGGGGAGAGGAGAGGGAATGGTTTTGTGCAAGTGCCTACTACTTGCACAAGTGGAGCTTCATGTATGAGTGCCTGCCACTTGCACAAGTGGAGTTGCACACATGTGTGCGCGCTCACCTGCTGCTCACACAGCCTGGTTCCAAACGAGCCGTAGCCTGGCAAAAGAGCCGTGGCCTGGAGGTTGGGGACCCCTGATCTACATATCACCTCAATTTTTCCAGCCCAGATTTGGCAACTGTGCAGCAACCCAACCGTGCCGTGCTCAATTCATCTACTGCTGGGGGGATCCAGCACCATTCAAGGTATATAATTAAATCATGGCATTCAAACCTAGAGAAGAAAGAGTTAATTCTGGACCCTGCCCACCTGAGGCTTAGCCCCACCCACCAATGGTGGGATTCAAATTATTTTTTACCACCAGTTCTGTGGGTGTGGCTTGGTGGGCGTGCTTTGCACACACGCGGAGGGTTTCCTACTGCCTTTCTCCTGCAATCCTGCATTCTCCCTGTGTGATAAACAGTGGACGCGCGGCGATCTGCTGTGTCATGGGAAGCAGCTGAGCTTCAAAACCAGGAAATAAAGACCAGTATATAGCTGGGGCAGGTGAGTGGGCCCAGCAGCTGATTGTTGGAGTGAACTGGTTCACTCACAGATGATTCTCGGAGCTACCAGTTCGGTCGAACCAGTAGAATACCACCCCTGCTACCCACTTTTCATCACCACTCTATCTCCTATTGCATCTCTCTGTCCTGGTGACCCCCAAATGACGGTCTGCTTCTGCTGTGGGGCACTTACATCGTCTGCGCTGGTCAGATCCCCTTGGCTGCACTGGATGCCAAAGGCAATGAGACAGATGGCAGCTGCCACCCACATCAGGCACTGCAGCCCCCCAGCCAGCTGACGCGCAAACTTCACATACTCCGGAGTGCCTTTGGGGGGCTTCAATTCATTGGGGCCATCACGAAGGAGAATCTCTCCGGCCACTGTGCTGGTCAGACCCTGGAAGCAGATAGACAAGGAGGCCAGATATAAATATGCAGCAGTAGTAACAAACCAGCAATGCCTCTGATTCCTAGAGATTTGTCTATCCTGGATACAATGAATGTGGCTATCAATTTAGGGCAGCCTTATTCCCCACCTATCACTTCCTTTCAAACACTAGATGGCAATCATACTTTTGTTCTGACCCAAACCCTTTTCCAATAAGACAAACAATAATTAAAGGGAACAGCAACCTTTTAATGAGTCTTATGAACCCCCAGTTAAAAGGCTGCTGCAAACTTTGATAAACACAAACCTTGCCAAAAATGTACGAGACTGCCAAGAATCATAGACAAGAAATATTTCACAACACAAGAGTCTTCAAATACCAAATTAAGATGCTGTAATGTCCACGAGGCTGAGTTTCAAAACATCTTTGCTTCCTGCAAAGAATGTTCGCTTCACAACTGGCTTTTATCTTCTTGAAGGAGGGGCCATTACCTTGCAGCCTTATTCCTGAGTCACCCGTAGTGTTGTAGCTGCTCTTTCCTGCAAGCAGCCCTGCATGCACACACACTTGGCACAGGTTCCTCGGGAACCTCCTCATCGCTGCTGCCAGCCCCCGCAATCTCTGAAGGCAGCAGTCCACTCCCCAATGGTCCTGGCCCCTCATCTGAGTCCTCGCTCTCCTCAGCCGTCTGCACCTGCTGCCGGCTAACCACAGCAACTTTCAAGGCTGCAGAAGGGCTTAGGATGAACTAGGAGAACATGTGTTCCTCTCAGCTTGCTGCTAATATTCTTTTTGTCAAAGGGTTTCACCTTGTTGATGTTGGTCCTATATTTCATCTCCAACTCTTCTATAGTCAGCTGATGATCATCCTAAAAGGAGGAGAGACCCAAAATAAGAATGTGATTTCAGTGGATGGAGAGAAGTTGTCTTTTGAGCTTGGTCATTCCGTGCAGTGTTCTCTCCTGCTGTTTTGCATAAACACATAAGCACGGTCAACAAATGTTTCTTCAGATTAATGAGATAAACTCACAAAATGAAAGCATGGAATGATTTAAAAAATTCCAGATCAGTGGGAATTGATTCTGGATGCCAGGAGATTAAATTCCAGGCATGAAGCATATCGGGCATGAAGGCAGAGAGAAGCAAATAATATACGGTATTACAGATGGAGAAAAAAAAGCAATTTAGCTGGTATATGTACACACCCAGTATTAAACAGCAATATAATTTATTACATTGTCTCAGAAAATCGAGGAGGCAGAGTATTAAACAGAATTTGCAGTTCCGTGTTTGCATACCGAAATGTTTAGGAAACAAAATGATTAATTTCAAATGCCCTCAAAATGAGGCAATCTCTGTTATTCAGAAAAGTTTGGGGAGAGATTAAATGATGAGTTATGTAATGGATTAGACTAATGAGATCTAATGGAATTAACATGGTTTTTGTTCATATAAACAAGGCTCTGAAACCATTACTTATCATTTGCTGAAATTTTCTGAAGACCAGTACTTTTAGAGGTACTGAAGTTGCGTCTCCAAAAATTAGTGGAAAAACAACAACATTCCTTCCTTGAAGTTTAGAGAGAATATTACATTTTGTTCTGGAGAAGAATTCTTTCCCTGGAGACCAATATAATTACATTAAATGTACTCTGTTAGTTTTGAATGGTTTTGCAGGCTAAGAAAAAAAAGGATGCTGCAATTGTTCCTGTTTGTCACTTTCCTTAATTTGGTGTGCCAAATTCTGTACACAGCTCTTCTGAATAGAGCTTTGAATGCAAATTTCCTTTAGTGTCGATTTTATTTTTAATGTTTGCTTTCAGATTCCAAATTCTGAAAGCGCTTAAGACGGGTTACGTGGATAAAGTGCCCCCCATTAAATCAATTACAGTCCTGTGAGATCACTGAGTTGCATCTCTTATTGTTCATAGGAGAGTGAGGATAATGCCATAATGCTGAACTTGGGTTCACAGATTATGAATATGTTTTATGGATGAAGAATTGGTTTCTCTTTGGCTGGTCTCTCACATCACAACTTAATTCTTTTTTTTCTCTTTTGCTAAAAGTTGATATACTTAACAACTGTACATTTGTGGCAAACACCGTGCATCATTGAATTGCACAATTGGGCCTAGAATTTTTGTTGCTAAGCTAGGTAAGTCATGTCTGATTTTAGAGCCACGTTACACAAATCAGTGCAGTTGTTAAGAGAATCACGTGGATGTTACATGAATCTAGCTTCCCCCCATTGACTTCGCTTGTCAGAAGCCAGCTGAGAAAGTCATCAATGACAATCAAATGACCCTGGGATGCTACAATCGTCATAAATAAATGCCGGTTGCCAAGTGCCTGAATTTTGATCAGGTGTCCATGCCACAGTCATAAGTATGAGGATAACTCATAAGTTGTGTTTTGAGTTTTGTGGCAACTTCAAATGCTTGCTAAACAAATGGTTGCAAGTTGAGGTCTTATAACGTATATCAACTTTCAGCAAAAATAATTTATGTTTATCCTGGTGTGATGTGACTAGTTTTATGTTTAAGTGTGATAGGCAAACTGGGTTAGTTCAATAATCCACTGTTAAATTAATCATGGGCAAGCTGCCTATTTCAAGCTATGGAAATGACAATGTCTAAATCAGTAGAGAAATCTTGTTTTTCCATTCTGGTTCTATGGCTTACCACATCCATCTCTTTCTTCATATTCTCCAACTTCTCTTTTTTCTTCAACCCTTTGTTTTTCTTCTTCTTAATCTTTACATCCATTTCCCCATCGTATTTCTCCATCTCCACTGAGTACATTTCGTACTTCTCCTAGCAGGACAAAAAAGCCAAAGAGAAAGAGGTTTGTAAGCGCAAATAGCTTTGTTAATTATTATGAATTAAGGCGTTACGATATTCTTTTGGAAAGCAGAAACAGATTTTAAGTGCTGGGATTAAAATTAAACCTAATGGCTAAGCGTGAAGAATGATCTCCCCAGTGGCATTGTCAAAAAAGTCGATTGTTGGTTGCAACTGCCATCTTGGCTATTTTGACACCTCACAGGTCTGCCTTAGAACCCCAGTGCTTGACATGTTGGCTTCAATAAAATTCTCTTTATCAAATATCAAATTGTTTATCAAAAACAATCTGATTTGTACTCAAATGTTGACCTACCATTTAGCATCAAATGAATGGGTTTAATTGAAAGATGACCTTTACTAAGGTCATCTTTACTAAGAGAACTGAGTAGATTACCAGAGGTGATATTCAGCCAGTTCGGACCAGTTCTGGTGTACCGGTAGCAGAAATTTTGAGTAGTCCAGAGAACCGGCAAATACCACCTCTGGCTGGCTCCACCCACCTGCCCCTGCCATTGCTTCTCCTATGTTTTGTTGTTGTTGTTTTTTTAGCTCAGCTGATTCGTGTGGCAGAGTGGATTGCCACATGTCAGCTGAGGTAAAAAACAGCTCACCTCACTAGGGCTGACACATGGGGCAGTTTTTGAGCCCTGCACATGCACGCAAAGTGCTCTCTCATAGAACCAGTAGGAAAAAATGTGGAAAACCACCACTGTATAGGGCACACAAATATACTTGTTGAGTTGTGCTTTAGAACAAAGCTAATTATTCTAGGAATAGAATAGAGGAGTTTTACAAAATTTCACTCTGCAATTTTACTTCACTAGTAGTGGCTCTAAACTTGAGACTCCCACAGTCATCCATCACCTCTGCAGAACAGATACAGTATTTTTTTTGTTTTCCATTTTTTAAACAAATGTGAAGCTTCACAGAATGATATTTAGGGTGTTTTCCTTTTGGCCAAATGGAAAATGAGAGCAGTTGGAAATTCCCTGAATTTTGAGACTTTTTGGTAACAGGTTTGTCACACGACTGATGCCAACGCAGTTTAGATGATATGGGAGTCGAATCAGTTCCCTTTGGAGGTGTTATTTTTGTTTTCAAGTGACTTATATTTATGTCCTAGTAGGCCTTTTCTGCTCATGCTCCATTTGAAATTACTTACGATAATGAATTTGATAATAGCAATTTGATAATATAGGGACTTATAAACGAATATATGTATCCCAGGATAATGTTGCAGGATCCAATCTGGGTCGGTCAACGGGACCAGAGATTTTTGTCTTCTGAGCTTTTGCACTTGTGCTGAAGCCCGATCCTGCAACATGCTCTTACTGTAAGCATAAGCAAAGCCTCACTGCAATTGCCCCTCTGCATCCCCTTAGATGTGCCAGGCTGAACACCTCCCACAGGAGACCCTGAGGGAGAAAACCCAACTCTTGGAAATACTGTTACAGCTTTCAATCTATAATTCTACGAGTGCCAGAGAAGGGAGTGAGAAGGAGATAGAGGTGGTATTCAGCAGGTTCTGACCAGTTCTGCAGAACTGGTAGCAGAAATTTTGAGTAGATCGGAGAACCGGCAAATCCCACCTCTGACTGGTCCCACTCCCAGCTATTCTCTGCCTCCCATTGAGTCCCAGCTGATTGGCTGTGTCTTCTTTTGTTGCCCTGCACAGGAGAACAGAGCTGGAAAGCAGGTTAGTGGGTGGGGAGGGAATGAGGACTTTGCAGCAACCTTCCCCCAGGAGTGGGGAGGGAATGGAGATTTGGCAGTATCCTTCTCCTGCCACGCCCACCAAGCCAAGCCACAGAACCAGTAGTAAAAATTTTTTTGAATCCCACCATTGCCTAGAAGCTGTTTATTTATACAGTACTGAATCTGAATCTCCCTCACAAAAAGATTCAAAGCTTTGTCCAGGGCAAGCTGTAAGTTAGAAAACCCATTCACACAAAGCTGATGAAAAGCTCGTCGCAATAAGCTTGAAACTTGGTAGAACGCATGAATGAACAATGCTGTAACCACATACTACTCTTCTTTTGCAAAGTCGATACCCAGGTGGTTTCTAGAGACCAGGCATTCACCTGCCTTGCCCTTCTGTGGTTTTGCCCACTGAAAAAATGGATTGGCAATGACTATGTGAAATTTAATGCTCAATTTCCTTTCACCACTGGATAAATATACATATTAGTTTAATTTTAAGCCCTAGGACATTGTCACGGAATGTTTCTTTTTAGAACTGTATTCCATTTGTTTTACCCAGAGTTAAGATCATGAACCTGGGACTGAAACCTTTTTACATGAGGCTAAAACATATAAAGAACGGTTGCTGGAACTGGGTATGTCTGGTCTAATGAAAAGAAAGAGTAGGGGGACATGATAGCAGTGTTCCAATATCTCAGGGGCTGCCCCAAAGAAGAGGGAGTCAAGCTATTCTCCAAAGCACCTGAAGGCAGGACAAGAAGCAATGGGTGGAAACTAATCAAGGAGAGAAGCAACGTAGAACTAAGGAGAAATTTTCTGACAGTGGGGACAATTAATCAGTGGAACAACTTGCCTCCAGAAGTTGTGAACGTTCCAACACAGTTTTAAGAAGAGATTGGACAACCCTTTGTCTGAAATGGTATAGTGTTTCCTGCCTGATCAGGTGGTTGGACTAGAAGACCTCCAAGGTCCCTTCCATCTCTCTTATTCTGTTATACATCTCCCTATAAGGGTTGAGGAAATGTTTTTGCTTTGTAAAAACATATAAAAGTGATATGTGAGTTCTTCCCATATTCTGTTCTATTGCTATTTCTATACCTACTATTCTATACCTACACTACTATGATAATTACTAAGACAACATATGTTATTTTTCATCACCTACTGAAATTAAGTTTATATAGTACTAGTACTATTCAATACTACCGGTATATTATTGCTATTACAATCGCTCTGTTACAATTGCCCACATACAATGCCATATACCAAGGGTCTTCAAACTTGGCAAGTTTAAGACTTGTGGACTTCAACTCCCAGAATTCCTGAGCTAACATGGCTGGAGGAGGAATTCTGGGAGTTGAAGTCCACAAGTCTTAAAGCTGTCAAGGTTTGAAGACCCCTGCATGCACCAATATTTCTTTTAAACCTGTTCTGTCTGAAATCTCCTCTCTCTCTGATTTGTTCTCTTTCTATTAAGGGTCAGCTCCTTGCATCTTTTTTACACTGTGCTTTGTCTTGCTGGCCTGCTCTTATTTATTTTCCTCTCTTTTGGACCCTCCGGTTCTTCTGAAGGAGAAAGAACTTCTTTTGTTTTCTTTGCTCTTGGCTGCAACGTTCAAAACACACGTCTCCTTCTGCACTTGTCTGAAGGTTGTAGCCTTATCAGCAACTCTGCTCTCTTGGCACTGGGGACAAGGCTCAAAGAGGAGAGAAAGAAGGCAGTAAACATTGTTAAGTAGCCTGCTTTTCCCTCCTTGAAACAAAACATTCTGTTGTCTCTTGATAGGGGTCAACGGGGTGAAACATTCCATTCAGTATATATGACATGCCAGGGAATCAGAGTAGAAAATCGCCCAAACGCTTCTCCCTTCTTTGTCCAGAATGACCAGCTAATACTAAAGTAAATATGAAACTGTTTGCTGTTCTCCTAAGATCTGGGAATCAAAGGCAGCTCTCTTGCTATGCCAAATGGAATGACTGGAGCCAGGCCTGTCTGCCCTCTCCTCCTCTCTGTTTCTCTCTCTCTCTTCCTTTCCCCCTCTCTCCAAGTGTGTGTGTGTGTGTGTGTGTGTGTGTGTGTGTGTGTGTATTTTAGTCCAGCAGTCTTGGAATCAGCGCAGAACGTGCTTTCTGTCAGAGATGGGAGAAGAACATCCTGTTCCTTCTGCAGATTGAATTGTCTAGCAACATTTATAACCCTAATGGATTCTGGGTAGCACATCACAGAAAAATCAAATGACAGTATCAGTATAAAACTAGAACATCAGCTTTATCTTCTATGTGTTGGCTTCTTTTCCTTACCTCTCTGCTCTTCTCTCCTCTGCACATATTCACACATACACACTCAAATCAATACACATATTGATTTAAATTTACACATTCATCTCTTGATGATTTCAACCCACAGGTAAAGGTACCGATGAGAACTGTCACATGAGTGGGACATCTGATTTGCCATTTCCTTCCCTGCACACTCTTTACTATGCTTCTCTACCCCAGCAATAGCAGGGCAACCATCCACATCCTGGCTAAACCATACACCCAGATTATAAATGCTATCCTAAGCCTGATTTTGTGAGCCGCTGTGATGTAGATCTATCTGCCAGGCTAGAAACCATGAGACTATGGGTTTTAGTCTCATCTTAAGTGCAAAGCCAGCTGAGTAATCTTGGACCAGTTGCTTTCTCTCAGCCCTAGGAAGGAAACGATGGCACTTCTGAAATATTACCAGCAGAAACTACAGGAATATCTGTGAATCAGACATGATTGAACGGAAGTGGGGAAAAAGACTCAAGATTTTGGATGAAAGCTTTCACAGCAAATAATTGAGCTGACACTTCATTCTGGAGAACCCTAGAGTGAAGCAGCTGTTTAGGCTGAAACATGATGACTGGTATCTTGGTCCGTTGCTCAAAGAAGTGACTTCATTTTTGCCCACGGGCAGAGTCAGCTCTAACTTTGTAGGGATAGATTGCAATATAACATCCCATCAACAACATTGCTCTTATTCTTCTCATCATGAAATGGCTTCCGGTAGAGTCTGTTGGACAGCCAGGCCACAGCCATCGTAAATAGTTATAAACAGCAATAAAAACCGTCTGCACTTTCATTTTTTGCGTGTAAACTATGCCATAATTTAGAATGGTATAAAAAAACAGAACAGGAATTTTTTTTGGGGGGAGGGGGGAGGAATCAAATATTATATGGGTGTTTAGCTTCATTTAAAGAAAGATGTAAGAAACGAAAAGAGTAACCAAAGAATTCATATCAATTTAATGAACGACTGATTAATTAACTAATTCGCCTTTGGAAGATTGCAAGAATGATGATGGTAGCCCCGATCTGAATTCAGCTGTAAAGTCACTTAGAAGATATCAAATCTGGCATCCACATGCAGAAAAGTCCTTGATGCTCCTTGAGCTTTGTTGTTTTCTTGCAGACATTTTATTAGCCAGCTAGATGTTACCTAGTTTGGGTAATGAAACATTTGCAAAAAAAAATAAAAAAAAATAACGAAGCTCAGAAAGAATCAAGGTCTCCTCATTTCAACCCTGAGTTACAAACGTTCTCCTTTATTGGCAGAAAAATGTTTGAATAAACCATGGCTATTTATTGCTTTTGTCAGTTCTGTAATGTCTGCCTGCTCCTCAATTGACTGAAATGTTGGTTGGAGGAAATAATTGTTCCTCTCTATTAAATAGCGTTGATAATACAGTCCCAGTAATAGATCAGGAAAAAACCCCAAATTTCCCAAATGCTCTTTGCTTTTCGGTAAGAGTGCAGCCATTTTTGTTTAACAGAATAACAGAGTTCGAAGGGACCTTGGAGGTCTTCTAGACCAACCCCTTACTCAGTCAAGAAACCCTATACCATTTCAGAAATGGTTGCCAAATCTCTTCTTAAAAACCTCCAACTGTAACGTCTGGAAACAAGTTGTTCCACTGACTGGAAACTGATAAACAGTTATCTAATCTGTTCTTAAAACCTCCACTGTTGGAGCACCCACAACTTCCACTGATTAAGTGTTCTGTCAGAAATTTCTCCTTAGTTCTAGGCTGCTTCTCTCCTTGATTAGTTTCCACCCATTGCTTCTTGTCCTGCCTTCAGGTGCTTTGGAGAATAGCTTGACTCCCTCTTCTTTGTGGCAGCCCCTCAAATATTGGGACACTCCTATCATGTCTCCCCTGCTCCTTCTCTTCACTAGACTATCCATGCCCAGTTTCTGCAACCATTCTTCATATATTTTAGCCTCCAATCCCCTAATCAACTTTATTACTCTTCTCTGTACTCTTTCTAGAGTCTCAATATCCTTTTTTATATCATGGCGACCAAAACAGGATGCAGTATTCCAGGTGTGTGTTCTGTCTCTCTGCTAATGCAGCCTAAGGCTTTAGATCCTGCAAATATCAATTCCACAAAATCTAGCTTTGTTGGGAGATCCATGCCAGCTGTCTTCTAGGGTTTATCCCATGCTAACCCCATTCACAAGCAGAGTGAGCAGTTCATTGACGTGCCATGCACAACCTCCAACCCCGCTTTTAAAAAAACATTTGCCTCCCTAGATTTACTGACAGGTTAAGGGAAAAACAATATCTCCAGAGCCATGGAAATTAGAGCTATCAAAATCAGCTTTTTAAAAAATAAAATAAAATAAAATTTGGAATGAAATACATTCTATGGCTAAATGATTCATTTACTAGTAAAAAGGGGGATTTTGAGTGAGGTTTGAACCCGGTGCCCAAATGAAAACAGAACCTTCCTTACCGCCTTCCCCATGGTGAGTCCTTGAGATCAACAAGACCGGCTTAAGGGGAACTTAGTGCTGAAGGCTGCAGGAGATGCCAGACCCTGCAACTGAGTAAACGGATGACCCCCCGCAAGGTAACTCCCTTTTATAAATTCTTGTGGCTGCCAACCTCCCCTGAGAATGAGGGGTGGTTCCATGCACAACACACAGTCAGGTCTCACTTGCGTGTTTCTGAAGTCACACACCAAGAGGAGACAGCCCTGTATGAGAGGACAGAAGACATACACAAAAACACACCCCCAGCCATCCAGCTGAAAAGCCACCTTGGAATGCCCCTTTTGCAATATCTCCTTCTGTACCAAACACAGGTAGGCATCTGTGAACTTGAAGGTGAAGAGTGTGAAAGAACACCTTGTACTTTAAAAACAAAAAAGGTACCAGATAAATCAACTAAATAAATAAGACCTATCAAATTTTACACTATCAAACCAATGTCCAAACCAAAACTTCTCTGTCACTTAACGTTAGTGCTTTTCCAAATAGTGCAGTGGAACTCTTCTCCCCACCCAAAAAAAGAATATTATAGAAAATTCTGTCCTAAACTGCCTCTACGCATGAAAAATATGCATTTTATGAAGGGGAATACTGTGTACATTAGACAAAACGATTGTCCAAATGCAATCTAGGTGAAGTAGGTATCCAAAATGAAAGATTTATAAAATGAGACATAAAAAAATAGAATTTGATATTAGTATTCCCCCCTCACCCCATTCCTTCTATATTGGCCAGTAAAGTCTCCGTCGGCAGCCTAGAAACAGCCTCTGAAGGCAATAGCTCTCAATAAAGTAATTACTTTATAAATGAAATGATGCTTTGAAAAACTAAGGCATTTAGCCCAGAGCCTTTTTTTAAAAAAATCCATTTGAAAACCTTTTATATAATGTGATAGAATAATAGAATAACCGAGTTGGAAAGGACTTGGAGGTCTTCTAGTCCAACCCCCTGCTTAGGCAGGAAACCTTACACCACTTCAGACAAATGGTTATCCAACATCTTTTAAAAAACTTCCAGTGTTGGAGCATTCACAACTTCTGGAGGCAAGTTGTTCCACTGATTCATTGTTCTAACTGAAATTTCTCCTTAGTTCTAAGTTGCTTCTCTCCTTGATTAGTTTCCATTCATTGCTTCTTATCCTCAGGTGCTTTGGAGAATAGCTTGACTCCCTCTTCTTTGTGGCAGCCCCTGAGATATTGGAAGACTGCTGTCATGTCACCCCTAGTCCTTCTTGTCATCAGACAAGGATGATGAAGATGTCATTTTGACATTCCCATACGTACAAGGGCCATCCTAAAGAAAACATCTAGCATGGAAGGCCCTTTAGGAAACCAATAACATTCTTTCCAATGACAATATAATGAAGCATTTGCAGTCTCTGACATAAGACTATTCCAGAAAAGGTCTTGCGTAACCATTGCAATAACCCAAACCACAAGCAGAAACAAAGCTGGTCAACAGATGTTATCAAGTCCAGTAAATACACACAATTTGACATCTGTTGCAAGGATCACACGCAATTGGGCTATATGTCTTCACTTCCCATTTAGTTAAATAAAATCTACATCTTTGCAAGGAAGTTATGCATTTTTTTTGATGAAACATTTTATGACATAAAATGAGACATACGCTTTGAGCTGTTCACTTTTTAAAAAACAGTTTACTTATACGTTTCATTTAATATACATAAGTGCTTTGTGAACAGTGTGTTGTCTGGGTCAATTTGCTTACATAATAGTACTTTCCCCACTCTTAATTTCTACCTCTATTATCCAACTATTTATAAAATAAATCACATGCTCAAAAATACTCTGTATCTTCTTTTTTTTCCCCTCTTTAATGTCAGTCTGTCCATTTCTGGACAGTCTAATATTTTTTTAATTACATCTTTTTCTCTCCGAGTTTTCTCATTTTATCAATACTGTGCAAATACAATCCTTGCTGCTGTCAAAACACATCATATTAAATACAAATTCCCCCTTTCATACCAATTTTATAGAGCCACAGCTTCTACAGTGTGCGTGGGATGTGACCATGTCACAATTTGTAAGTTGCAGGATTTTGACAGAAGCCCTGCCCTGTACAAAAGGGGCACAGCTTGGATCACAGTTCCATGCCTTGAGAGATTTATTTCTATTTCTGAGTCCATTGCAGAAATGAAGGATGTTATAAACATGCCACATTTTTTATCTTCTTCCATGTCCTCAAGGTATTGTCTTCATCTCATCCTGTCATGCCCTTGTTGGAGTCTGAATCCAAGACGGAAAACAAACAGCAGACAGGGTTGGCTGTGGAGGAAACTGGGGAAGGGCAAAGTCCAGCTGGGCGGAGCAGGGAGAGGTAGAACAAGGGAGAGGGAGTGCAGAGGAAGATCCAGGCCCATCCCCTCTTCATCCTAGGGCATGCAGGGAGGAACAGAGAAGAGAGCAACATGGGTTGCATGGCTTATGGGGGAGGAAAGGGCCCTGATTCCCTTCATTAGCCACAGCTGGGAAGAGAATTTAAAAGAGATGCATGCTGAGTGCAGCAACTGCTGGGAGCAAACGTGAGTTTATCTTGTGTTGACTTTGGTTATCTGTGTTCCTGGTGTCTTCCCAACTGTGTTGAATTATTGCCATGCCTTCATGTCTGGAATTCCTTCTCTTGCCCTGCCAGACTCATTACCTCATTTTGCCTTGATTGGACTTATAGTTAGAGTTTTTGTTGGCCACGTTTTGGACTTGATTCTCTGCAGCCAAAGGCAAACTCCTAGGAGAGTTTTTCTCCGGCCAGAAGATAACCAGGACATTGGGGGCAAAGTTGGAGCTAATAAAGATTATCTGACTGTTTTGCCTTTGTGACATGCCCCGGGTCATACACATCCAGATCGTGAGCAAGATGGCCTTTAGCTGTCTTTAACGGTAGTGGTGTACAAACAGTAGTCTCCTCTCATTACATCCCACATTAACTTCAAAGTATATCACATTTGATTTGGTATCCACCTCCTTTGCAGAAAGCCTTATGGCTGCGGTAATGGAACAGAAGTAATAGAAGCACGATAGAGGGAACTATGATATCCAATATTATTTGTAAAGGAGAATATTTGTAGCTCAGGGTTGAAATGAGGGGTCCTTGGTGCTCTCTGAGCTTAGTTGTTTTCTTGCAGAAGTTTCATTACCCAAACTGAGTAACATCACTGATGATGCTACCTAGTTAGAGTAATGAAACATCTGCAAGAAAACAAGAAAACTCAGAGAGCACCAAGGACCACTCAATATTATTTATTTAATGAATTTACTTAAAAGATTTATATGGCTGCCCATCTTAAGAAACACTGGCTAGTTCACAACAGTAGAACCAATCATTAGAAAACCAATCATGATACAGTAAAACTAATTTTCAAGTCACAGATATTTTAAGATTCGTAATTTTATGTCAGCTTGAGAACTCCATCCCACAAAGAAACAAGGCTTCTGAAACAAGAAATGGAGTCCAAGTTAACTGGTGTTTCTTAGCTGAGTTTTTCTTTATATGTTTAAGGGCACTGAAGCGCTTATGTGTCCACAGCAGAGTTATCGCTTTGGATGCAAAATACAAGTCGATAGAATAGAATAGTCCCCACAACACTGTCAACTTATTTACTAAGACTGTATTACAGTGGTGGGATTCAAATTTTTTTTACTACCAGTTCTGTGGGCATGGCTTGGTGGCCGTGGCTTGGTGGCCATGGCTGGGGAAGGATACCATTCCCACCCCACCCCACTAACCTGCTTTCCAGCTCCGTTCTCCTGTGCAGGGCAACAAAAGGAGACTCAACCAATCAGCTGGGACTCAGGAGGCAGAGAATAGATGGGGGCAGGGCCAGTCAGAGGTGGTATTTGCTGGTTCTCCGAACTACTCAAAATTTCTGCTAACAGTTCTCCAGAACTGGTCAGAACCTGCTGAATACCACCTCTGCTGTATTACTATTATTCCTCTACTCCTATATTATAATAACACTTCCTAGTACCTATCTCTCCCCACTTATGACTATAACCGTGTTGCTTGTATCTTTACAATTTATATTGTTTTATGTGTTTCCTAGTATGATTTGATTGCTTATTAGTGACCTATGACTATTACTAACTGTTGTACCTTATGATTCTTGATGAATGTATGTTTTCTTTTATGTACACTGAGAGCATATGCACCAAAGATAAATTCCTTGTGTGTCCAGTCACACTTGGCGAATAAAGAATTATATTCTATCTGCAGCGAATTTCAGTTATTTTCTTTTCATGCTTTCTGCCTACGTGGTCATATTGGTATGGTTTTCTCTGACCCAAGGATGGGTGGAGGGCAACTGAGAAGCCCACCCTTTTGGAGTTCTTTCATGTTCTCCACACATATAGAAGCCTCCCCTAAAGATATAGTTGCAGGAGGAGAACTGTAGAACAAGCAGAAGCAAAGCAGCTGTTGGTAATTTGGTTTACAGGGAGAGGTCTGCAGCATTTCAAATGTTTTTGCATGAAGTTTTGTTGGAACAAAATCTCTCTGCAAAGCTTTGTGCAGCCGCAGCCCCAATGAATATGCCTCTCAAGTTTTAGCTGCAAGTTGTTGGGTGAAAATGACGCTCAGAGAGGTATACATGTTGCAGAGGAAGCTTTCAGTATTTGGAGAGAAAGCTTTGTGTCTCTCTCTAGCAATTCTCCATGGATTTCCCATGGACCTTTGCATCATAACCTCCCTTCTCTAGGAGACCTTGATAAAACCTTGCATTAGAACTCCTGGGAGCTCCAACATGTCAGCTGATCTCCACTTATCAAAGCCAAAGTTCTTTGGAAAATGTTGCCCACTCCTATTCTTATCAACGGGTGACCTTATGAAGCAGGAAGGAGAGATAGGGAAGGAGCAGCGTTAGTATACCAAGGAAAACATGACCCTGTGCCAACCTGCGTTTTTCAGCGGAACATGTTACAGCCTGAATTGTACCAGAGTCACATCCTGAAGGCTGGGA